TCAAATTAAAGCCCGTTATGTTGGTGAGCTGTGTAATTTTTATTAGTGAAACATCACATTCTTAAAAAGTATTGTAAAACATACAAATTAGTTACCCGGACAATGATTTACAGCAGGCAAACCTTCTGCCCATTGCTTATACGTATACATCTTAATACGTTATTACTTATTTTGGTCCACGTTCTAAAATAATTATACATATACAGATTATATTGGTAACCGATAAGATATAAATAGTGTTCAATCTGGTTTTAATTTTTATATGGGATTTATTTTATAGCGCTATAGCATTGTGATGCTATAGCACTATAGCACTATATTTTTAATATAATATATATATATTATATTAAATATATAATTTAACAAATTAATACATATAATTAGATATTTAACAACTATATATCATAATAGCAAAAAGAATGATATTAGCACTTGCTCTAATCCTAATCATTACTTATTTTAGGGTCTTTTAAAGCGGAGTAAAATCATGTGCATAAACCAATCAAATCACGAATTTTTGTTGACCCGGATCTGCTCGGCGAAGCAAAAAAAAATGAAAAACGCAAACCCTAACCTTAACCCAGGCCTAACCCTAACCCTAAACTTAGTAATAATTTTATCGATATAACCTACTCCACTTAGACGTCCCCGTATTTTATTAACTGTAAATACGATCAAAATTTAGCGTTAGTACTATTTTCGTATGTCTGTCTGAATATGTTCTGCCGTACCTTTTTTTTCCATATCTGATCTAATTAATTCTTGAAATATAATTGACATAATCTAGTGATACAAGTCGATGAAAATTTCTTGGGCCAGGGTCGAGGCCAAAAAAACTCGGGCGGGTTGTCCGGGTCGACCTTTCTACTAGAGTTCAGTTTCGAATCTCATTGCAGAGTCAAGGTTAGTTAGCATATGAGAATCATTATAATATGTGAAGAGAAGAGAAATTATTAATGAAAAACAGACAAAAGTCGTGAAAAAAATCGGAATTGAATAAAAAAAAAGAAAAGCTTGGAAAAACTCGGATTCGAAAAAAAATGTGAAGTAACTGAGGGAATAATTGTACTTGACTACTGTCAAACTTCATTTATTGACCGTTTCCAACTATCATCTATATTGCAAATCTATTGGCCAAAATAATTTGATCTTACGTCGACCCGGCAAAAGTGTGGGTGGGCTGAGGTCAGCCCGTATCACTAACATAATCACACAAATTATGAATGCCGTAGTAGACTATTCCAGAACTCACAACACATATGCTAATGAATACAACAACAGCTAACATTACCTACTCTACCCTTAAATCTAACTTCAATTCCAGCTATTGTTGTATTCATAAATATGTATATCTGTTAGTATGTATGTACAATATTTTGTTTGTAATATTGTCTTTGTGTGACCCAGCATCGCGCTATACTGTATCATATCATAATTTCTAATCTTAAGCTAAATGCTATCAATAAACTTCAAGAAATTTTTAGTTATCATACGAAAGCAACATTATTAGACAATACTAAGAAGTAGTTCATTATATTGAAATTTCGTCACAATTGATATTAACATTATGATAATCATGATACCATTTAAAGAAATGCATTTCAATTTAAATTCTGGACCGTTTGCAATTTAACAACACCAAAAAAAAATCAGATACTTAATCATGACTTCACAATTAGATTTCTAGCTTTCTTTGGTGCTATTCATATATACAACATGAAATAACTATAATACTAAGCAACTATATAATACAAACTTATTAACATCTTATAAACTAATGATACCTATGATTTTTGTCTTTGAGAACAAGTTGCTCGATTATGGCCAACACCTCCACAAACTTTACAATGCAATTTGCGCTTTGCTCTTTTTGGTGGCTCACCTGCACGCCGCATTCTATCTGTACCCTTGGGCCATCCTTTTCTTTTACGTTTACAAGGATTTACTAATTCTTTTGGATCCAGCATTCCTTTTTTGGTTGTACTATCTGACTCAACTTCATTATTTGAATCTATCTCACTTTCACTATTAGACGA